AGATTTAAGGTTCTGTTTCTGGCTCTTCTAGCCGCCTCGACCATAGGCACATCGTGCTGTTGTAGAGCTTCTCTGATGTTATCCTTCCATCTTGTTCTTGGTCTACCTCTTGCTCTACGACCTTCTTCTCTTTCCATGTATGCTTTGTATGGTATGGTGTCACAAGGCATTCTCTCTAAGTGGGCAAACCATTTCACTTGCTGTCTTTGTATGTAATTTAGAATTGGTTCTGTGCCAACTTTTTCTCTTATGATCCCATTCCTGATCTTATCTCTTATGGTCACTCCTACAGCCCTTCTCAGACATCTCATTTCCATGGTTACTAATTTTCTTTTATGGTTTGTTGTGAGTGACCATGTCTGGCACTGGTAGCACAAAGTTGGAATAAATATGCTTTGAATAAGATATCTCTTTGTGCTGATTGGGATTGTCTTATGCTGTAAGAGGGGTGCTAGCTGTCCCAATACTTGGTTTGCTTTACTGCATCTAATGTTAATTTCTTTATCCAATTTCCCATCTTCGGTAAATGTAGTTCCCAGATATTTAAACTCAGATGCCTGTTTAATGCCCTTGTTCTCTATTGCTATGTTTAGATATGTCTTCTTTTTTCCTATTGACATTACTTCTGCCTTTTCAGTGTTGATTCTCATATTATTTGTTTTACATTCTTCATTCATGGATGTTAGATGTTGTTGCAATTTCATGGCTGTATCTGCTATCAAGGCCTGGTCATCTGCAAAGAGTAATTCGTTGACCTTACTAACATTTTCATTCATGGGCTTGGCATTCTTGCATATACCGTCGATGTAGGTAATAAACAGCAGTGGTGATAAGACACACCCCGGTCTTACTCCAGATGTTACTGTGAATGGATGAGATGTTCCCTGATTTATTCTAACTACACTTCTACAATCCCTGTATAAACTTTTGCACACTTCGATGAGGTGTTCGCTTACTCCATATCTTGCCATTACTTTCCATAATAATTGTCTGTCGACTCTGTCAAATGCCTTCTCCTGGTCTACGAAGGCCACAAACAAGTTCTTATTGTTTTCAATGTTCTTTTCTATTAACTGTTTAAGTGTGAAGACTGCATCTGTGCAGCTTCTATTTCTCCTAAATCCCATCTGTTCTTCTGCCAGCTGTGGTTCTATCACTGGTCTCAGTCTTGTTTCTATTATCTTGGCATACATTTTGTCAACATGGCTTAAAAGAGAGATGCCTCGGTATTGACCGCATTCTCGTTTGCTTCCTTTCTTTCTTCCACAATGGTATAACTATTGCATGTTGCCAATCAATAGGGTCAGTTTATTGTACCCATGCTGCATTAAATATTAAACATTAAAACACAATGAGATAATCTAGCGTCTAAAACGCTAATTTGACAACCCCGAGGTACAACCTCCAACAGTGCCATTTTCTGCCAGTCACTTTCTTTTTTCCGGTCTGATGCCCCTCGGTTTTCATTGAAACGTTGCTGACAGATCTATTTTGTGTACAAGAAATACACGGAGAACGTTAATACACAGATTGTATGCACACCCAGTGCATGTGCCCCTTCTAAACTATCATTTGCCGGCATTATCCACTCATCGAATTGACTGCTCAACCCCGGAAGTAGTTATTCCCTCACAACGTAACGGAAGTGAACCCGATTTGCTGCTTCGTCGTTGCTCTTTGCATTCTGACATTTTAGCCTTACATTTATTTTAAACGAATATTTCTGTGTCAAAAAGAACAGACCCACTGCCTCACAAGCATGCCGTAAAATGAGAATAATTAGGAGGGTTTTCCCTGAAGTCGAAGTGCATCTGCCTGAGAGGTGAGGAATCAACAGAGTGCGTAGGACAAGTCCTGAATGTGGATGGACAACCAGAACTGGGGAGGGTCAAGAAAAAAAAAAAAACCTGTCAGGGGCGCAGTAACTTACGGGCTTAAGCAATGTGAGCTAACACCTAATTATTTAAGGGGCTGGAACAGAAGTGAAATCTCTCTGCTGACCAAGCTAAATGTTTACAAAGCTGTAATTCTTCCAGTAGTGCTCAACGGTTGTGAAAATTGGACTGTGTATCAGCGCTGTGCTAAAAAGTTGAAATCAGTTTCATATAACCTATCTCAGAAAGCTGCTCAAAATGAAATGGCAAGATAAGATCCCAAAAACTGTGGTTTTTGATAGGGCAAACCTGCCTAGCATCCACACGATACTGAAGAATTGCCAGCTGCGTTGGGCTGGTCACCTAACCCGCATGCCAGAATATCGCCTCCTAAAGAGAGTGTTTTATGGCGGGCTTCAGCAAGGGAAGAGGTGCCAGGGACAGAAAAAGCGCTATAAGGACACTATGAAGACTGCTCTCAATTCTTTTGGCATCAACGCAGTGACGTGGGAGGCTGCTGCACAAGACCGTTTTGGATGGCGTATGTCCATCGGGCATGGTGCATCGGCCTGCCAGGCAGCTGAGGTTGCACAGGCAGAGAAACGGAGGCAGACTAGAAAGAATCGTACTGTTAATCCCACACTTACTTCGCCTTCCATGTGTTGTCCGCACTGCTCAAGAACTTTCCTGGCTTATATTGGACTAATCAGCCACCTTCGTGCTCATAATCATTTATCTTTGCTACTTTAGGTGAAAGTGGTCTTCATCACTAATGATGGACGAACAACATTTAAGGGACTGAATCTCCCCTCCCTCCCTCTCTTATACTCTCTCACACACACTCTGACACTCTGTCTCATTCTCTCTTTAACTCTCTCTTTCACTCTGTCTAACTCTCTCTTTCACTCTGTCTAACTCTCACTTTCTCTGTTACACTCTCTCTAACTCTTTCTCACTAACTCTATTTCTATCACGCGTTCTCTCTCTCTCTCTCTCTCTCTCTCTCTCTCTCTCTCTCACTGACTCTCACCCAGTCGCACTCTGCCTCTCTCTCTCTCTCACTGTCTCTAACTGTCTCGCATGCGGTCTCTCTCTCACTGTCTCGAACTGTCTCGCATGCGGTCTCTCTCTCTCTCTCACTGTCTCTCACTGTCTCGCATGCGGTCTCTCTCTCTCTCTCTCTCTCTGTGTATGTGTGTGTAATGGAAGCTTTATTATTCATTAGAGTCGATTAACCCATAAGGGAGGGTGCCTACCGTTTAGGAGGTTGTAATAAAAAAGTTAAACACTTAAAAAAAAATTTTTTTTTGCAGGGGAAGGGAAAAGTTTGGACCCCCCCCCCCAAAAAAAAGGGGGGGGGGGGGTGAGATTAGGGCACTCACATAATCATCGATTGTTATGACTTCGGGGGATTACCGCTTACACTTAGGGCATATCACGTGACAATTGTTGTTATAGTCGGTTACATTCGGATAATCTCTTCATGTATCTGTTTTCTAGCATGTATCTATTAACCCCTTCCGTCACACACAATTGTTGCCCACACCTGTCCACCATTAAGTTTGTGCAACATAAAGTTTGTGCACCCTAAAGTTTGTGCACCCTAAAGTTTGTGCACCCTAAAGTTTGTGCACCCTAAAGTTTGTGAACCCTAAAGTTTGTGCACCCTAAAGTTTGTGCACCCTAAAGTTTGTGCACCCTAAAGTTTGTCCACCTTAAAGTTTGTGTACCCTAAAGTTTGTGTACCCTAAAGTTTGTGCACCCTAAAGTTTGTGCACCCTAAAGTTTGTGCACCCTAAAGTTTGTCCACCCTAAAGTTTGTCCACCCTAAAGTTTGTGCACCCCAAAGCTTTTGCACCCTAAAGTTTGTGCACCCTAAAGTTTGTGCACCCTAAAGTTTGTCCACCCAAAAGTTTGTCTACCCTAAAGTTTGTCCACCCTAAAGTTTGTGCACCCTAAAGTTTGTCCACCCTAAAGACTAAGAGTTTGAATGAAATGATATAACACAACCAATTAACAGCATAAATTGAAATTACAGCCGAGAAAAATTGATTTAAAGGAACAGACAAATTGGATATAATCCAGAAAATTTAAGGACCCTGTTTACACCGACGGCCTTTACTTCCATGGATGTTACAACGTAACTGGGTCGACCTGGGAGCCAAGGTAAATTTTCAATCCTCCTCCTCCTTAGTGCAGATGTGAACCTTAGACCTCCGGCCGACTAGCGAGTGTCTAGCCGTGACGTCACCACCGCTCTCAGATGTACATACGAAGTAAATAAATGTATAGCAAAACTAACAGCGTACTGCGAGTTGCTTGATACTGAAAGGATCCAGAACTGTGTTTTTCACACACACACACACACACACACAGCATTTTAAGCACAGACGGGAAACACTATTAAAATAAGGCCTGCTTCAGAACAATCTCGGTAAACAGTAAAATAAGGCCTGGTTCACCACAATGCGGTAAACATTTGTAAAATAAGGCCTGGTTCACCACAATGCGGTAAGCACTTGTAAAATCAGGCCTGGTTCACCACAATGCGGTAAACACTAGTAATATAAGGCCTGGTTCAGGATAATGTCTGTAAACACTAGTAAAATAAGGCCTGATACAGGACAATGTCGGTAAACAATAGTGAAATACTACCTGGTTCGCGACAATCTCGGTAAACACTAGTAAAATAAGGTCCGGTTCAGGATAATATCGGTAAACACTAGTAAAAAAAAATAAAGCCTTGTTCGGGAGAATCTCAGTTAACACTAGTAAAATACGACCTGGCACAGGTCAGTCCAACGAAACGCTAGTATAAAAAAAAAAAAAACCTAGCACATATCTGTAACAGGAAGGATGAATGTCATGTCACATTCGATGATGTCAAATGCATACCTAAGTCGCTTAGCACAGGTTTGACATGGGAACCAATGAATGTCATAAGTCACATATGATCCTGTCGAATGCACAACTAAATCACACCATCGTCTCAACGAGGAGGCTATTTCACAAGTACAAACTAATTTCCCTTCATCTATTCCATTTTATGAATTTTCTGTCACGTTTTAATAGGTCTCTATTATTAAAATTTGTTTGCGAGCCTTTGTTACAGTGTATATGAAATAATTACTTCTTTTTCTTTTTCCCTCCTCCTTTCCCCTTTTTTCCTTTCTTTCCTTTTCCTCCTTTCTTGTCATCTTTTGTAGTCTTAGTGCGACTGATCCCCAGGCGCTCAAGTCGTTTCTTCATCATCGGCGTTTTTTCAAACCAGGACAGGAACGCTTCATGCTCAGCCCTGTAGATGGGGTCGTATTTAGCGATCTGCTCCACGAACTCGGATGCGGTCAAAGGCCTGAACCTGTTGATAGAGGAGACTCTTTCCTTGGTGAGCACCTCCGTGCAGGCAGCTTTGATCGCTTCCACGGTGAAGCCGGTTGTCACCTGCGATAGATCGGTAGATTTTTGGCTGGTACATAGACAGACATAAACATGCACTCACGCACACACACACACACAGACACACACACATGGCTGTATTGTTTTTGTAAATATTGCCGTTTCTATTTTTGTAATCACCCTCTGTGGAGTTAGTACAACAGATACTGCTACAGTCTGTCTTATTTTGGGTACTGTTTTTCACATTGCAGCTCTGTTCACAGTCGTTTCTAGGGCTTAAATTGCTAACATTATTAGGATGAGGAACTTGGATATCAGGAATTGACATCATAAGCTGTTAAACTACCATATTCGACTACCTGGCACTGTTAAAGAACATATGTTCAACCAATCAATAAACACCATTTTAGCTCAGATCAATTAATAAACCACTTGCATATAGCAGTGATATGTTAAAATAACGGTTACATGAAGCTTGAAACATGACGTAATACACACAAGATTTAAGCAAACGTTAGTCTCCCCACGGGAAGTTGGTCACATTCCACTAATAAATTTGGTGCTTTCGTAGTGTTAGAAGCATTGTGAAATATAGAACACGCGATATCAACGGCACTGGAGAACACCCCCGTCACCTTGTGTGAAGGTCAGGTGTCTTAACACCGATCAATAAGAAGTGAGCTTGGGTGTACCGGTGTGTAGAATGGGGGGGGGGGGGGGGGGGACTATGATTTAACCACAAAGGATAATTACGATGAGCAAAAAACTAATTTCAAAAAGTCGACAGTCATTAAACAACCCGCCCCCCCCCTTTCCCCCCCTACACACACACACACATACGAAAACACACAACACACACACATGCGCGCACAGACACAACGATATGAATAAAAGCATAACGAGGCCGGTATGTGACGTCTGTAATCCTCGATTACACTTCCCATCATTTTCCTGTTTATTTTTACGGTTTACTGATTGACTGGAACCTTTCCCTCTTTTCAGACGATAGTGTTATATTGTGCTTTGAGCAGTCATGGGACTCAGAGCCCATGGCGATGGCGAATGTGACTAGCAAGACCTGCCTGCGTTAAGAAATGTCTTCCACATTTTTAGCATGGCATTTTAGGACCGTTGATGTCAGATTCGCGTTTAGTGTGTTTCTTCTCAGACGCTCAGCTCTCATCCTTTCTGTAATCATTTCTTCCTTTATTCTCACTCCCTTCCTGATGTGTGCCCTTCACACGACACGGCCCTGGGATTTTGTTCCCACGAGTCCACCTCAATACCTGTACTCCACTTGCAAAATCTTTATATCGTAGTAGAGGTCGGCCTCGACATCTTCTGCCCATCACGAATTCACCTTAGAGGATGTCCTTAGGGAATCTGCCATCCTCCATTCTCCAGGTGTGACCCTGCCACCTGAGCCTTCGTAGTCTTGCACTGTTGCATTACCTGTTCCTTCTAATACCTCAGTGTTTGTGATCTTGTCTTTCTTGTTAGGCCTAGCATGTGAAAGATATTCAGCCCTTTCTTGTGGTGCAAAAAAGTTGACTAAGTTTCACTGCTTCTTCTGCGTTCGACATCAGTCCCGTCTGGGTCACAAATAGGATTGTGCGTTTAAGGTCGCCACCGGTCCGCCATAGCTTCTCTCGCAATGTGGATCCCCTGGGAGAGGTAAGGGCAGTACTGCAGTATGTGCTCAGGGGTCTGTCTTTCTGCTCTTTTAGGCAGAGTGCTGAGAACAAAGTAATGTTTACTATTCATTACAATAAACGTCACTCGTTTTGCGTCTCAAACATAGCGAAACGAACGCTCGCTGCATACTTATGCCATTTATGCAGACATTGTAGCCATGTGAAAACTACCAGTTACTGGTACTACAATGCTTGCATATTCTTAGCAGCGAAGCGACATACATGAAGATATCACATGATAATCCTCTCCAGCGCGATCCTTACATGCTCACTCTTACACGTGCCTCGCCACTATAAAAAGGATTTTAAAAATCAGACACGCTTATTAATTAATACACCTACGTAGACATGCATTTAGACATGCATACCTTTATATTAGAGTTTGGAACAGTGATTAAAAGACAGGACTCGCATGCCGGAGGCGAGGTTCGAATCCACAGTAAGATGTTGAACGTTTGTTCTGTCATGGGAAAAAATAAACAGCCTAACCTGTACAGTTAGACGATTAGTGAAATATCTTTGGAAGCGGCCAAGAGGTGGTTTTGTAGATAAAAATAATGTTAATATTAAATATAATATTTTAATAAAGAGAGAGAACGTCTATACTGGGTTAGGCGAGTCTTACAAAATGGGGGAGGGAAAAGGGGGGGGGGGGGGATGCTCAACTTGATTTTATTGTTGGCGAGAAAGGGTCTCAAGAGATGCGTAAGCCGCCTGGGTAAGGGATATGTTCTGGAAAGTAAAGGCGGTCGGCATGATGTTGACAATATCACCCAGTGATTGCCGATTGGGCTATAAAATGATGAGCCAAGCACTTTACGCACTATGTTATGTGTCTAAAATGTGACAACTTTACATGGATTTCGAGTGAACCGCAATAGTTGCAGTTTCCTATGACCTCTTCCGGTCAGTGAGAGCACTCCTTCCTGTGAAATGTGCACAAACCTTGGTCAGCGAGGTCAGATCCAAGTCCAGGATGTCCAGTCCACTCAGGTTAGTGATGAAATGTTTCCACAGCAGGTACCTGCAGGTCATTGAGTTAGAAATAGTGGGGCAAACGTGGACTTCAAGTACACAGCAACTGTCAAACAGGTACAATAGTTACAGTAGAAATTACACTTGTCACTAAAGACAGCGTCTTTTGGATATTTTTTCAAGGGCGTTCAAGGGTTTTGAAAAAAAGAAAAGGTAGACATTTTGGCTGGTTCTGCGCCACTTAGTGGTAAACTGGCGCAGGAGAAGCTAGGAGAGAGGAGATAAAGGGAGAGAAACAGGGACAGAAGGGGAGAGTTTGGAGATAAACAGTGGGTGGAAAAAATAGCATAGAAGGGAGTGAAAAGAGAAGATCAGATACGGCGTAACGAAGGGGAGAGGAAAGTTGATAGGGAGGGGAAAGATAACAGCGAGTAGTAGAGGGGGTGGGGGGGGGGGGCACTGGTAGACTGAGAGAAAGAGATAAAGAATGAACAAGATAGAGAGGAATGAGACAGGGGAATTGAAAGAGAGGCGAGAGTAGAGGAGGTCTGAATAGATGCAGGAGAAAGAAAAAAAAACCACACACACACACAGAGAAAGAGAGAAAGAGAGAGAGAGAGAGAGAGAGAGAGAGAGAGAGAGAGAGAGAGAGAGAGAGAGAGAGAGAGAGAACAATGGAGAGAAGTAAAATCAGTGGCAAAACGTGCATTTAACGGTTGTAATCACCGATTATACTTTTCATTGCCAATGAACAATCATTTTGCCACTTATTTACTGTTTACTATTTCTTACATATAGGCCATTCGGATTGAATTTCGAACATAGCTAACAGATCGCTTGCTCCTTGCTGTATGCTTACACCACTCAGGCAAAAAACATGTGAAAGCTAATAGTTACTTGTACTACAATGCTAGCTGTGCACGCATATTCTCAACAGCCAAGCGACGGGGAGGAAATATCAAGTGATGCCCTCCCTAGTGTAATCGTTACCTGTTGATGCTTACACATGCAAACTGGTCACGCCTCGTCACTGGTAAAGACAGAAAGGGGAGAGGAAATAAATGAAATAAAGGGAGAGAGAGAATGAGAGAAGAGAGCGAAGAAATATGACATGCGGAGCGAGAGAGAGAGAGAGAAGAGAGGAATGGAGAGTGAAAAGATGGGAGTGTGGAGAGGGGGAGAGCCAGACTACAACAGAAAGAAAGAGACTGGAGAGAGCGGAGATGAAGAGGGAAAGGGAAGAGGGAGACAGACACACACACACACACACACACACACACACACAGAGCAAAGCTGGCAGATATGGGAATACTATCATCATTTAGCCCTCACCTACTGGCATAATCCGGGTAAGGTACCACCACTGATCTCTCAAAGAATTTCGATAAGGTACCTTTACACAAATATGGCCGCTTTGTGGTCCCAATCAACATCATCCGGTCTCCGTTTTTAATTTTCTACATCAGTGGGGGAAATGTAACAGACAATGACTTGAGTTGTGACAGTGTTTCAACGATAATAAAAGCAGGTCTTATATTAATTTTGTTGACTGACTGACTGACTTTCTACCCCACCAGGACATCACACAAGTGATAAACACCAGATGACACAAAGTACCACCATGTGGATGAGGATCACCGTGCAGAGGTCACAGAAACCGTGTTCAGACAATTGGCCATATTTATGGTCTGCCTATATTGCGGCCCCTGGCAAAAGCCAGTGTGGGGCTTCAAATAACTAAAAATTTCATCCTAAAAAGGACGTAAAGATATATAATAGATATCTTTAATTTTGTTCAAAAATCACTGGGGCTAATTTCGGGGGATGTCGTTCTTGGTGAGATTAAATAAATTGACATTTATTTATGTACACAGTGCTATATTTATTCATTAAATACAATCATCTCCTCTTCTTATGGAGCAACATTTGATGACAACACTAGATTCAGTGAGAATACCGTTATCTTGTACAACACTAGATGCATTGAGAATACCTTTATCTTTTACAACACTAGATGCAGTTAGAATACAATTGTCTTGTACAACTCTCCAAGTCTCGAATGTCGACCTGCATTTCTTGCCACTCCATTTCTTGTCGAGCCAAATGGACCTAGTCTCTCATGTCCAGCAATACAGCTTTCCTGAAATGTAGCCTTCTCCTGGTGCTGTCCTAATGCACGTCATTGAATTTTATCCTATGAATTATTTTACCCAAGTCACGACCTAATGCACGACGGTGGCTTCTGAATTCCGACTGGACATTTGGCAACAAGTCTCTTATTCTAGCTAACAATCTTATTATGGCTTTTGTTTTAAAAAAATGTAAAGGACCCTTTCCCACGCCATTCGGCGTATAGGGCATATAGGGCTAGACCTTTATTTTTATAGACCAATCGGCACAAGACAGATGATGTAGTCAGAATCACGCCGGCCTCCTCTACTTCCCGGGACTGCACCCGGTACCCACTCAAGACTGGGTCGACCTGGGAGCCAATGTCATTTTTAAAAAAGTCTAGCTCCGCCAGGGAGCGAACCGCTACCTTCCTATCCGTCGCGAGCGTCTAGCGGCTCCGCCACGGAAAATCCCGTGCTGTTTGTAGGGCTATATTAAAACAATTCTTAAAGCTGTGCGGAGTTCTATTGTTATGGTGTTTATAATTATCGAGGAAGCACAATATCTGATTGATACAGTCAGGCCAGTTTTAAACTGTTCAATATGACCAATAGGTGGAGGACTTTCTTTTTCAACCCGTACGAAAAATGTGCCAACTAGAACCATACATTTTAGACTTATCGACACTCGATTCGTGATGTGGGTAGAACAACACCTTTAATTCTCACATTGTGGGGAAAACAAGAATAGACCCACTGCCTCCCCAAAAGCATGTCGTAAGAGTCGACTAATTGGGGAGCTTCCTTTGAAGTCGGAGTGCATCTGCCGGAGAGGCAAGGAGCCAACAGTCTGTATTGAAGAGAATGAGATCTGTAAAACTGATGCACACGCAACACTCAGGTTCTGGAGCAGGACTGCAGTTCAGTAGTGGACGAGCAACCAGAACCTTCCGCCAGAGTTTACAGCTGGTGAACGCGAAGAAGAAGAAGATAAAAATTATAAGGTCGGGTTGACATGGAATACCGGGTACAATTAAGACTTCCTCAATGGTGATTTGAACCACTGTCCCACCAGACAAATTTGGCAGCCACTGTGCTACATAGCCTCTGGAATTTGCTTAGTTCTTATGGTGATTCTTTCAGTAGATCCTACGAGGATACACATTAGAACTTGTTGTCGATGGCACCTCTCCGTCTTCTCAGACGATCGCGTTATATATTGCAGCGTTTCTCAACTTGCCAGTCGCGACCTTTTTTTTTTTTTTTTAAACTCTAACGACCCTTTCACAGGAGTCACCTAAAACCATCGGAAAACATATTCAATAAAGTTTTCATGGAAAATAATTGTTTGTGGGTTGCCACAACATGAGGGAACTGTATTAGAGGGTCGCGGCATTAGGAAGGTGAGAGCCACTGCTCTAGTGTGATATCGGAAAGCATGTGAATCCCAGCCTGTGTTAAGAACAGTCTTCAACAACTGAAGCATTGGATGGATTTCAGGACCGTTGTTGCAGTCACGTCTATTTAGTGTGCTTCTTCTTACATGTTTGCACCCAACCTTTCTGTGATCGTTTTGTGTCTTTTGTTCCTATTATTCTTTTTTCGATTTCTCCCTCTACTTAACACGGTTCATGACATTTTGTTCTCAGAAATTTACCGAAATACCTGTATCCTTCATGTCCCTCTTGCATACTCTTTATATCGTAGTAAATACCGGCTTTGACATACATAAGAACAAGGTGTCGTGAACTGAGCTAAGCATCTCTACTTTGATTTTGCGCATCCTACAAATGGTGTTCGACTTGTGTGGGTGTGTGTGTGTGTGTGTGTGTGTGTTTGTGTGTGTATGTGTGTTTGTGTGTGTTGACCAGCTGGGACACATTTAAAGATGCGGTCAGCAACATGCAGTGAGCCTTTACTCCCCAAGACACTTCATGGTATCCACTTTTAGACTGAGCTAACCTGGCAGCCTGGAGAAATATTTGAAAAATTGGCTCATGTGGGCAAGCGTAATCGGCGACCTGGTCACCCAGTGGCTTGTTGGTAGAGGGCTTGGTCACCAGTCGGGACAGTATTTGGGTCTGTCTGCTTTGATCGCATCGGTCGGGACAGTATTTGTGTCTGTCTGCTTTGATCGCATCAACACTGCAGGAGTCCTTTTCATTGTTCCTGGCTATGCCATTTTATATAGTGCACATAATTATAACCTATAGCTCCCCCTTCGGAGATGCTGGTTAAACGTGACGATTTTGTATTATTTTTTCCCAGCAATGCACCTACCTACCCGAACAAGCACTAAGTGGTGACCGTCATCCCCTGTGGGATGCAATTTTTCACCCTGCCTGTTGCCGGGAGCCCTAATATAGCGAAACGGTTGAACAGGGTTTCCGGGACTTCTCCGCGAGTGACACTTATCCGCATGGTGGTACTATGTGTCACCGGGCGTTTATCGCTCTGTGTGGGGTAAAACTTACTTACTTGCAGACTATGCAACTGGCAGACTATGCGACTGGCAGACTATGCGACTGGCAGACTATGCGACTGGCAGACTATGCTACTTGCAGACTATGCGACTGGCAGACTATGCTACTTGCAGACTATGCTACTTGCAGACTATGCTACTTGCAGACTATGCGACTGGCAGACTATGCTACTTGCAGACTATGCGACTGGCAGACTATGCGACTCGCAGACTATGCTACTTGCAGACTATGCTACTTGCAGACTATGCTACTTGCAGACTATGCGACTGGCAGACTATGCGACTGGCAGACTATGCGACTGGCAGACTATGCGACTGGCAGACTATGCTACTTGCAGACTATGCGACTGGCAGACTATGCGACTGGCAGACTATGCGACTGGCAGACTATGCTACTTGCAGACTATGCTACTTGCAGACTATGCTACTTGCAGACTATGCGACTGGCAGACTATGCGACTGGCAGACTATGCGACTGGCAGACTATGCGACTGGCAGACTATGCTACTTGCAGACTATGCGACTGGCAGACTATGCGACTGGCACCGTGCTCAGGGACACGTATTTGTTTATTCTTTTTCTGGAGCCTCCGTGATGACAGTAAAAAAGCTAATACTGCTGCTGTTGCTGCTACTACTACTGACTGCTGCCATCACCATCACCACCACTACTACTGTTATTGTTACCATCAACACTTGTATTTACACTACCACTAATACTACCACTAATACCACTACCACTAATACCCATACCACTAATACTACCACTAATACCACTACCACTACTAGCACCACCATTACCGCTAATACTACTACTGTTGCTCTTTTCATCATCACCTGTACTAATTCTACTAATACTGCCATCACCAATGTTACCACCTCTAGCATCACCGTCACCATTAATACAGACACTAGTAGTACTGCTACTACTACCACCACCATCTTTACAACTATTATCATTACTACTACAGCTGCTACTACTGTTAAAACTACTACCATCATTAACATTCCTTTACTAAAACTACTGCAACCACTGCTACCACGGCTACTATTATATTACTGCTACAATCCCTACCACTACTGCTTCTGTTATTGCTGTCACTTCTACTATTACCACTGAACCATCGCTATCACCATCACCACTAATAAATACTATTCCACTACTACCACACCATCACTGCTACTATTACTACTGTTGCTACTAATACTACTACCACCACCATCACTAACACTACTATTACTACCGGTTCTACTATTACCATAATTACTACTACTGCTTCTACTACCACCTCATCACACCACTACTACCATAATACACCTACTACTGCTGTTGCTGCTGTGCTGAGATGATTATTTTGATGATGGTGATACCTCACAACTGTGCACCCTGCACACAGTTACCTTGAAGGTTTTTTTGAACAGCTTGACCCATTTCTGAGGCTTGGATTTGTCCTTTTTGTCTTTCTTTTTGAGAAACATCGTCTCGCAGTCGTCGATCCAGAACACAGAAGGCTCCAGGGCTTTACCAACCTGACCACAGAACAGAAACAAAGACAACAGGGATTGATACTATTGGCGAGGTGTGGGAGCAACGGCTGTGATCGTTACTCACACTCTTCATTGCCATAGAAAGAATTATTTTACTATTTATTATTACTGTTTACTGTTTATTACAAATACGCTAATGTTCACGTCTCGAACATAGCAAGAAGAACGCTAGCTAAATGCTTCCGCAACTCAAACAGAAAATTAACGCTGGAAAGCTGCGCACGCATATTCTCCACAGTGAAGGGAAAAGGAGAAAAATATCTCGTGATACTCTGTCTAGTAAAATCGTTTGTTTCTCACGCTTACACGTGCGAATTGATCATGCCTCGCCACTGATATATACACAGATGAATATGCGACATAATGTCATAGGGCAGTGATTTTTGTAAAGCTTGAGAGATACAAGGTCGCGGAGTATAGAATGCTGAGACTAGTTTTCTTTCTTGTGGTTTTGTTGCTCAATCAAACTGCACTCAACTCTTTGAGTACCAGAAGATTATGTTTAAAATACTCAATTAGATAACAGACATAATGAAGAGTTCATGAGTGTGTTACTTTTAAAGAAACAAAACATACTGTATTGTATGTTAGCATGCCTGGCCAGATTTCTTCAGCATGCTTAAACCAAATGTGAAAAAAAGATAATTACACACCATTCGTTGTTTGATACACACTGATTTTAGCTGACCACACACTTCACGTTGGTTGGGATAAAAGAGTTAAAAATGCCTTTGTTTCGGAAGATGTGGATAATACTTATGTATGAAGTACTAAATGAACTATGGTACCATCCTCACTTTGTAAACAGTTTTTTTTTTTTTAATCTACAAGGTCCAGGCGAGAATTACACGCCCTTTTTTTTTAACCCCTCTAGATTTGAATTTTATAGGAGTAACGTCTCAAACCGCGCTCAACTGTGTGATCGTATAGAACGTTATACTGGGGCACCAACAAACAAAGTAACCAGCAGTCCATTGTGGATTTGCTGTGTTGTAATTGTGTCGTAAATTGCCCAGAAGGCTGGTATTCTGGCATCGGAAGGGTCTTCGGTGGGGGTATATTTTGTTTCTGACACCGAGGTATACCAACATAGACATGGATCAACGGAGACAATTGTAATAAGAACATATTTTCATGTTGCAAGAAAAACACGGTGACGCGGAGCTGACTGGAAACAAAATATTCAGGAATTTGGGACAAGGAGAAGTATTTCAGGGGCTAATATGGAAGGTAGTGGTTATTTTAGCAGAAATATTCCAGGCAGTATGAGATGTTCAGGGAGAGTGAACAGCAGGAGAAGGAACGACAAGATGAGCTGGTGGAAAAAGGACAGGAGAATAAACAGAAGAGAGGGACAGGAGATTAGCTGGGGGAGAAAGGACGGGAGGATAAACAGAAGAGAGGGACAAAAGGATACAAGCAGGAGAAGGGATAGAAATATAAACAGGAGAGGGACAATAGGATACAAGCAGGAGAAGGGACGGGAGGATAAGGAGGGGGAGGAAGAGAAGAAGAAGAAGAATAAGAAGAATGGGGAAGGAGGCCAAGAAGGCGATGGGGAAGGATGGGGAGGAAAAGGTGGAGGACAACAACAACAAAAGTAAGAAGATAATTTTGAGATTATTCACCTTCATCAACAAATGCATGATCATTTTCTTTCCTTTCTTGGAGTTGTACTTTCCGAGCAAATTCGAAGGCTTTATGTTAAACAGGTTGGCTCCTACTTCAGTACAGATGGCGTTGACCAGCATATCCTTGCCCGTCCCGTGCAAGCCGGTTATCAGTATTGACCTATGCAATACAGAGGAAAAATAGATCCACACACTAAGCAATACTGACCTTGGACAGAATAATACCTGGGCCTCTGCGGTGTCGATGTAAGAGGCTCGTCTGTGGATTGGAAGATTGTAAAGCACTTCGAAACACAATCTACGTGTAGATGGAGCTTTTTACCAGATTAGGAGGAACTCATTACAACTTCACTCCAACAAATGCAAGCTTTTTTTTTTTTTGGGGCTAGACGACACGATTGTCAATGTATCAATGGTAATAGGTCGAATTCACATTTTTTTTTTACTCAACAGAAAGCAACCTACAACAATTTTCCGATTACGAACAAGACACTGCTGGCTTATCTACAACATGCATAAAATAAAGATTGTACAGTCCCCACAGTGTGCCTGTCAAACAGGACCACAAATACCTGAGCACATTCTGCAGACCTGCCCACTTCAAAATGACACCTGGCCTCAAGAGCAAAGTGTGCAGAGCAAGCTATGGGGAACCATGAAGGACCTGCTACTGACATGCGAGTTCATTGAGGCGACCCACCTGGTGGTCTGATCTGAGCTTACCAAACCGAACGCAAAGAATAAAAAAATTTTTCTTAAAGTTTCGTAACCGACAACCAACCAAGCAACCAATTAAATCGCACGTGCCAGTCAGACAATCATTCACGCAATCAACCCACCAACAACCAACACAACATGAGCGTATGTTGCGTTGGGGGGGGGGGGGGGGGAAGGGGGAGTGTGAGGGGGAGTAGGCGGAATAACTTGCATTCAGATAACAACAAATGGGTTTGCAGTTTACTGCAGTAGGGTTTGTTTCAACTGTAATTTGAGAAATTTGTTGTGCGCGAAAAGATTTTAGTCAAACCCTGATGATTGGGTGGTTAACTAAGTCAGGTATTAGACTGGTCACTAAATCTACATATATCCACCCTTAGATTTCTTCTGGACGGCTTTTTGCGCATTGGGGACCTTGATTGTTTATCGATCTGAGGTCTTTTATAGGCCTCAATAGAATTCAATTCAAAAAGAAAAATGTCTTAACAATCATTTGTATCCTTTCTCAAAAGAAAAAAGAAGATGCCAATAAATTCAGCACACTGCGTGCAGAGAAGCAGACAGGGAATTGCTAAACGAGCAATGAAATGTGCAATAACTGGAAACAAACGAGGTCACGAGAACATCAAAGAGATACTTTAAAACACGATTTTTCTGAGACATTTAAAAGGTGCTGGGCTTGATATTGAAAGGATTGCGCGCGATAGAAATAGTTTAGATTGCGTGTCCTCTGTAAGGTGCAAAGACACGAGAGGATGATGATGATGTTTTTATTATAAATGAGTTAAAGGATAAATTCATAATCTGTCGACTCTTGGCTAGGGAAATTGACATCTAATACATTAATCCCAGTTATGATTTTCTGCCCTTCAAAAGCCGTAAGTGTTCTAATATTGTAAACATATAAATAAATACTATACTATCTTTGCACGCTAATACAACTTACTTATTGATAGGAGACAACTGGTGAATTTCTGGCGACCCAAGGGGAAGAACTGCGTACTCTAAGATAAGTTTTCTTACGTCTGCTAGGGAGGGAAATGGATTCAAACCCGATCTTTGCGTGATGCAGCCAGTGTAGCTATAGTCCCCTAAAAACTCCGCCAGTCTGGCATGCTTAGTTTTGATGATAACTGCATTTTCGACCAGCTCTTCATACAACTCATCAATAGTTCTGTCTTTAGTCAAATCTTTGCCTTTTTTCCCTTTCTTTCCTTTCTTACCCTTCTTTTTCTTTTTGTCTTTCTTACCCTTTTTGCCTTTCTTGCCCTTTCTATCTTTTGCTCTCTTTGCTCTTTCTATGGCGACTTTCATGTTTTCGAGTTCGAATCTCATTAGTTCATCGACTTGCAATCTCACCGACTCCGCGATCTCCAAGCGAACCTCATCTTTCAGCAGCTCCCTGTCATGTGTTTGGCTAGTGTTGTCAGCGTCGTCTTTGTAGTACCAGAACTTTTGGTATGCATCCCTGGTGTCTGTCAGCTCAGGCAGAACTTTCGAAATAGGCAGACTATATTCAAACTCATCCTCCTCGGTCTGCCCCTTCTTTTTCTTTCCTTTTCCACCTTTACCTTTTTTATCCTTTTTCTTATCCTTTTTGCTCTTCTTTTCCTTCTTCTTTTTTTTCTTTTTGTCCTTTTTTCCCTTTTTCCCTTTCTTACTTTTGCTTTTCGCTTCCATAAATTCCTCTAGCTCTCTCTGTATCTCTACAATAGACTTGTGGCTGAAGAGAAGATTGCTGCCACCTTTCTCTTCCGGTGGAAAGATCGGGAATGTTCCCATGATGCTCTTGGTCTCCAACAGCCATTGAGTGATATTGTATTTCAAATGCCAAGCAATATCTGGAGCCTCTTTGTCTAATATTACTTCCTGAATCATAATCTTGTCCTCTGCCAAATTATCCACATTCTCTTCAGCTTTCTGTTTATTCCGAAGCATATGCTCTTCAAGTCTTGCTGAGTAGTGACTGTCTGCCTCTGGGTACATTCCAAGGTCTCGCATTTCCTCTTTTCTAACTAAATCAGCCAATTGTCTCTGGACAAAGCATTTCCACTTTCTTATGCATTTTGTAACTACCTCCACCATCTTCTTCCTATTCCTCATCATCAAAACAATTCTGTCTTTCTGATCAAATGCCCTTCTTCCAAGAAATCCTCTGTGGTTTCGTTGAATCTTGCGAATAGCTAGAATAGTATCCACAGTTTGGCCGCCAATCAGTTCTTTTTTATGTGCAACATTTATTTCACTTGGTCCCAAACTATCTTTTTCAATTCTATTTAGAATTGACTCTAGCAGTAGCTCTCTAGTTTGTAAATTGGCATACTGTTCATTTCTGAAAAATCTGGGCACACTCAATTCCAAGTCTTGCGGTGTCAAGCCATAGTCCTGAATGATGTCATCCAAGAAGTGGAAGTGTCGCTGGTCAACTATGACCATTTGCTGTTTGAATTCAAGCACTCTGGCGAGAACATCGGTCAACACCGCTCGGACCAGGACTCGCTTCTGCGGGTGGACCATAAAGTTATAGATGTCATCGAGTTTTTTGGCGATAGCTGTGTATCTCACATATCTGAAGAGGAGGAAAAGAAGCAAACATCACGTTGAAATAAAACTGCCCAATTGAAATAATGACAGCATCGTTCATAACCGAGAGTCGCGTTAGTGGCTAGTTGCTGGCCTGAGGACCCGAAGGTTTCGGGTTTGAATTCACAATGTTTATTCAAACTGACTTAGGCTCTCAGGTTGATCGATTTAAATGTAGTTCAGGAAATGTTCTGTGAAGCCAAGGCGAGCAGGTGATGTATTGACCCCATCAGCTATCAAGTGATGTCTATGTTTTAAATGTGAGTCCATCACCTGATGCCTTGCTACAGTTGTCTGTCCACTTTGTTCTTGATCTTCCTCGAGCTCTACATCCTTTCCCTCTTCATAAGTGTCTGTTTGTGGCCTTTAAAGCATTCTAAGAGAGCAAACCATTTTTTTTAAGAGGCAGGGGGGGGGGGGGGGGGGGGGTGGGGGGGGGGGGGGAGGTCTCAATGTGGAATTAATTATTGGTATTTGTTGAATCCTCCCTTTTCTTATGGTCGCGTCACTGTTATCTCTTCTTGTTGACGGACCGACGTTCAACCCCCTCCAGGACTGCACAACGAGCCATACACACTCGATGACATACATTGTCACCATTCGGATGAGAATCGCCCGAGCCCAAGTCCAAGCAAACCCGTTCAACCGTTAGGTTATATTTATAAACAACAGCCGGGGTAGGGCTTTAACAAAATTGAGTCCTATATTGGGGTGGATTAGCACCTCTTCTGGTTACTTCTACAGCCTTTTCAGACACCTGCCTCCCCGTTCTGGGGCTCCATTTTGGAGAACAAAGATTAGACCCACTGTTTTTCTAATAAGCATGTCGTAAGAGATTATTAACTAGGGGTGTTTTTTTTTCGAATTTGGGGAATATCTGCCTGAGAGGCAAGTAACCAATAGTCTGCATGTAAAAAAGCAAAATATGTGAAAAGGATGTTAATTCAGTTTCTGGAGAAGGACCGAAGATCCAAAGTACATGCACAAGCATAACTTATCGTCACTCTTCTTTTAAATGATGCTTGGCACGCTGTGTTGGGGTTAACAGTTAAGCTGCGATATCGGTGTCTTTCAGCCACACAATATGCAATTTCAGCGACACTTCAATTGCTATAAATGAGTGCTGGTCATTACAGGAAAACATCTATAGTACGATCACTATGATCACACGCCAATTATTTACACAATTTCAGATCTATCTAAACCCAAACACTGTTAATGGTAATGGTAATATAGTTCCAGCTTCATAGCAAACGGGTCACCCCATAGTTGCTCCGCTCCTGTGCCAACGAAAAACACACAGAATGTTCATCACAGTCCCTTTTGGAGAGATCGACCGACTGCTGTCTCAGCATATTCACCAGCATACACACGCATTAAAAGCATACGGTAGCCATCAGAAGTGGCACAAACAGTTTGACACTAGAAATGCAGTTCATTATTGACGGTAGCAGAGGTAACCAACAAATCAGCAGTTGCACGCGCGATCAATTATAATCACATATGGGCACCACCAATATTGCGAAGGCATGCCGCGCGCCATTTTCTGAATCTACAGTTCAGAACACCACGTTGGTCACAGTCGAAAAACATTAAAAATGAAATCCACAGCTCACAGTGTCACGCCATGCACTCAACTCAGTAGCTGGGTGACGAATATTTATCCTTCCAGTCAAGAAATGGGGCAAAAATGCAACGACCACCGTTTGGCAGAGGCTAAA